CGGACACTGAAAGGTAGGAAGAGGGTGGAATTTAACGTGCGAGAGTTCTCTCACTGATACGCTAATTAACGAATATGAAGAACAAGTTGCATTTGCAAAAAATACCCAATTGTAATAACGTAGATATACGCCGGTCAAGATTGCTGAGACGGTTAGAGCAGTAGTGCCGCAGCGAACATGGTCCAGAAGACCGCGGGTTCTCGCGGAGTCTCGCATTGNGTGTGTGTGTGTGTGTGTGTGTGACGTCCTTTCGTTCCTCGCTATCACCATCTAAACAACAACCATACCCCCAAGGCTAACACCCTTGGGAGTTAAAAATCGGGATTCAGTTCAAATGCTGACCCCCCCCCCCACACACACACACACACACACATGCATACAGGTACTTGCATCTGATGAAGCAGAATGCACGCGTGGTCCGAGTTAGCCTATGCACGGGAAAAATGTAGTTATACAACGGGGTCAAAAAAAATTCGAACTGCATTTTTCGAAAATATAAATAAATCTTGAAAATCGGACATATCCCATCTTTAAAAGAATTGATCGCTATCCTTACAAGAATTTTGAAGACAAAAATTGATCATTTTCGGAAATGTCCCAGGTCTATGGTATAGAGTCTAGATCGAGTGTAAAACGACAGCCCGATTGTATTATACTCCTCTATATTATCGTTATATTATTTAACTGAACAAATGCATCATAGACTTCTGATAACTAGTCGAAAAAATTACGACAACGGCGAAGTTACGTTCGCGATGTGATCTAATTGATAAGATAACTGATACGAACAAAACGCATTCACAACATTAATAAATATTACACGTAACATTCGACATAAACGTTATCGACTCGATCCCTCACTTGAGAAAAATGACAGATCCCAGACCCCTTGAAAATACCGACATCCTCAAAAACAAAAAAATGTTGCATCGAGTTGTTTTCTCCTTGCACTTTCGTCATAAAAACAGGGTTGGCAAAATTTTCTCAACATTAAAAAAAAAAAAATAACCTACTTAAGAGTCAATATTCTTTTAATGTTTGTTCACGTTATGTTTACGTTTGTATATATGTTTGTTTTGTTGGTTTTTTCAAATAAAATACCGAACCAATGTTATAAATCGTAACGCACATTAAAATCTCAAGTTTATCACAACTGTGTTTAAACACGAAAAACAAAACTACAAAATAAAGTGGCAATAAAATGCAATCGTTTGATGTACTAAAACAGAAACGAACACGAAGACGAGAGTACAAAATAAATTTACTATAAAATGCAAACTTGCTTTGTACCATTGCTTCTTTCAATAAGACATTGCTCAGCCTTATGGGTCTTTCAAGGTTTTGAACAGAAAAAAGGTACTAATATACATCTTTTTTTCAAGAAAGGTTTATAAAATACAACCAAAAAGAGATTTATAGGGAGTCAATGAATTTTTCTAATCATAATCCTCGGACACTAACTTGGCAGGATTGAATTTGACTGTTCGAATAACAAAAATCAATACTTTATGAATTTTATGATTTTTTTAAAATATTTCCCGATATAGTCCAAAAGTTATCAATAAAATCATTAGGTAGTTTTGCCTGATGTTTACTAAGCGACAAGCGTAATTCATTTGTTCTGTTGCGTACTTAACAGCTAATCTTCCGCATCGTCAACAGGTCGGCTGTGTCCATTCTGGAGAAAATTCTATGTACGGTTTAGGTGATAATATTCGCAGCCGGACGTGATGAAAATACTCAAAACCCTTCAGATACCCCCAAAAGGTGATTTCCATCAAAATCGTGATACCGATCCCCCCCACCAGCATAACATAATTCACGGTATTCCAGAAAGTAATTTTAATAGTGGTTGGAAACTTGAAGCTCACACTGCATTTTCATAATTTGCTAAAAACTCCATATCTCTCCTACACTTTTGTCCAAACTGAGCTAAGAGCTCTTATAGATCCAGTAAACGTATTTTTTTCTGATCTTTCGAATTGTTTAAAAGTCGCATAAGTTTAACTTCTGATGAACGTAGTTGCTAATGTAATCTATTCGTCAATGTTAGGGCTTTAAATACGAACAATATTATGCTTTCCTGCAAAAATTGGCCAAAAATTGCGATTTTTTTAAAAACTTCAAATAAAGTTGTCTCATATTTTAGTGAACTTTCGGTTACAGTAAACTAAAATCTCTAGCCCCGATCCATACTTTACAATTGCCAGATGATTTGGATATATTGAACACGGTAAAAAGTTCAGGAAGGAAAAAAAATCTTCCCTTCAGGACCGCGAATTTCCATTACATCAAAAGTATGCAGAACTCTTGAGTTATTTTTGTAATATATACCCGAATGGAGAGGAATGGGGGGGGGGGATGGGCTGAGGAAATAGTTCCAGCTCATCGTTGGCAATTTGAGGTAGAAGACTAAGTATTGACAAACGAATGTTTGGCCACAAATGACAAAGCAAAAAGTTCGACGTAGCTTCATAAAAATATTATGTGCTAATTGACATACCGTTTTGTATTTCAAGCTGTTTAGTGTTAAGCATTTTGCCGGCAATGGATGAATATAAATTGCAATATATTACGTAATCGCTACAAATGTGAAAAAGTACTTTCTATGATGCACCGATAGATTGAAAAAGGCATATTTAAAGAGGTAAAATTTACCTCTTTATTACATAATAGTTCGAGTTTTCATTTTATCTAGACGATTTATCCTCCCTGGTCCAAAACTTCCCATTATGTCCCTGCCGCTCCCGTAAATCCCTCCCGTGCACAACGGAGGGTGGTATCGTCTACTGTCGCATTTTTTGGTCCCTGTACGCCAAATTTCACTTCATACAGAGCAACCTGCTATACGATAAACATTACAAAGAGTTATCAAAGAAACATCACGGAGGGTCGTATTATGAATCTACAGTTGAGTTTTATAACTAAATTGTAGCTCTAATAACTTTAGAATAGAAAAAACTAGTACATTACCAAATACCTTTCGTGCTTCAGACATATTGCATCACATTGCTGTATTGCACAAGTTGCGTAACAAGACCATTTAAGAAAAATAAGCACATCGGGCTCAAGCACCACGAAAGCATGAAGCCACTACATACAACTGTATTATTTAGAAAAACTACTTGCTTCTAATGTAGAATACCATCGAAACAGAAGATTTCTATTTCAAAATGTTAATCATAAAATTAATATAAATACGTCTAAATAACTTCATAGGCCCTATACTGTTAGATAACGTTTGTATACTAATATTTTCTAAGAACAAAGAACAGACGAAGTTCTGGTCAATTGGACCATTTTCCTACGAGTCGACGTTTCACGCGTTTATGAACTACAAAAAATATGAAACACCACTTCGACAAACTGTTTCTATTATTTATTATTATGTTTAAACTTAAAAACTATTACATGGTATTTTTTTTAAGGATTTTGCATCACTAACTACATTTCCTCCTTGCTTGCCCTTAAAAATATAAATAATGGGCTCAGCACGCAATTCCCTACGTCACAACTTCGGGAGTAAAGAAAACGCAAGTTAAAAAGGGGGAAAAAATAAATATTGTATTGATGCTTGCAAAAAAACAAAAATGTTAATTACGCGCTGTTGAAAAAAGCAATGAATCAATGTTCTTTTGTTTCTTTTATTTAAAGGTTGTTATGGCGCCTGACACTTTATTAATGTTTAATGAAATTATCTTCAAATCGTATACAAATTCACACTACCTAATATCTCGGGGTCACAACTAAACTACATTTAAACATTTTCTATCGGATAAGCTTTGAGAGATATCAGCTCTAAATTCCACATTAGTTTTCAGTACCATGACGAAATTTGGGCAAAAAAAGATAACCATTTCTGATTTCTATATTCTACAAATTCCTTTAGCATACTTTAGTAGGTGGATCTTGGTTCAGGAAAATGCACATTGTATTTAATAAACTATACAAACATATGAACTCTTAGGAATTGGCTCTACATTGAACGACCTAACATTACCATTCCTGACAAAAACTATGCAGTAAATAGCTGTGAGTGGAAAATGCCGGTTTCCAATCCCAAGATGCCCCGATCGAACTAACACCACAGTGCAATAAATAACATAATGAAGTGTGCGTGTCTGGTATATCTCTAATCACTAACACCCCTCCCCGAGCCCCACGATTTCCTTACACAGGCGGCTGCGTAGCACCCGGCAAGCAGTCCCGCGTAAAGGACAACGGCCCGAACACTGGTATAGTCGCCGCAATTCTGGGGTGCAAGTGCTCAATGGTGCTTCAAATACAGAATGAGTTTCACCCTGCGGCTTACGTGTTATGTCCTGACAAGTTACGAGCTATGCTCTGGGTTCGTGGAGAACTTATTGAACAGATTAATGCCCAGTTCAATAGAACTTCCCCAGACTGAAACAACCTGTAGTTTTCGTTTTTCGTAACAAACAATACGTAGTCATACCCCTCTGTTATCTGCATGTAGTAGATTTCCCGGTGCGGCCAATGAACGCCGCATGTAACCATGGCCATTACGATGTTGCCATATTTCGCGGGAACATCGCACAAGGAATATAGAGTTTGAAGAAACGAACACAGAAACTGCGCTCACCGCCCGTTTATGTGGGAGGTCTCCGCTGGGAGACGTAAACATGATCAAACAAACAGTTCACAATAGTACGAGATAATACATCACGTTTTTCATTTAATCAGACACTTTAAAATTATAACATTGATCCATGTGACTAAGGATCTCTATCAAAGACAAGTAAAAGACTGATATGTACTACTATTAATTCATGCCACAAAAATGAGGTATGTGGTGTGAACATTGTTGTTATTTAGAACAATCATACCATTCCCCATGTCATTTACAGAGATACATTATGTACAGGTAATTTAAAAAAATAATTGTAGAGATAGCCATGATTAAACAAATTTTACACATCACAGCTAGAAAGTTGCCAATGAAAATTAAACAAAAAATAAGAAATTTTGTAGGTACTTACATTGATACTGAAACTTGGTGAGGGTTATTGAAATTCTGCATCTCGTCACAACTCTCCCCTCCAGAACTGCTAGCTGTAGCATCAGAGTCAAAGGCATGCTCCACCACTTCCACTTGGGTGTGCAGCTGCCCTGAAACCTGCTCCACTTCTTCCTTCGTTTCAGATAAAAATTTAGGAAATGCACTGATACCATTATTCGAGACAGCAACAGTGCTGTGATCACCTGATCCAGCACCAAAATACTTGTGTGGAACTTGCTGTCGTGAAGTGATAGCAGCCTGCTGCTGAGAAATAACATCTAATCTACGAAACAAATTTGCCAAAGAAGAAGATGAGATTCCCTTCACTCTCTTTTCTTTAACATTTGGTTCTACCTTCACAACCGCACTGCCACTGGTCTGCACTATTTGACTATCACTATTTTCTGTAGAATTTTCTCCTTCTTTTCCACTAGCACTTTGTAACATCCTATATGCTTGTTCCAAAACACCTGTCACTTCTCCACTTGCATGCTTTCCTAAGGAACGTGCATGTAATTTTCTCAGTCGCCTACCAAGAAATTCACATTTTCTCTCCAACTCAAACTGTTTTTTCCGAACATCCTCTAACCGCACTGCACTTAAAGCTTCTTTATTTTCAAGCTCTAAAGTATTATCATTAATATTTACATCAACACACATGTTCATCATATCTACATTCAAAAGTTCACGCTCAAGCGTTGATAGATCTGCACCATCAGCCATTTGAAACATAGATTCTGCTTCCACATTTTCTGTTGGATCCATGTTTCCCAAACCCATATTATCTGTATTCATAGAGTCTGTTTCAGGTGGATTTGTTTCCATATTATTTATCACTTGTAATATGTCTTCCACATTCTGCCCAAGATCAGTACCACTACTCAATTCATTACCTGATATTGCTGCTCCTAAATTTTTAAGAAGTTGATCCATATCATTGGACAAGGTTTTATCCTTCATCAAATTAGCACACTCTGTGTTAGGCACAGCATTATTTGGCTTTTGGAATCCCATGTTATCTTGATGGTCCCCCATAGATGGGTCACATTGATTCATTATAAATTTACCTTCCTTACTGTGACCTTTGCTCTTCTCACCAGGATGCTTTTGTCTTCCAGCACACAGATCTTCACCTGTTCCTTTAGTTAATTCTGAAGCAATAGCTAATGTTGTTAAATTTTCAAAAGCATCAAAATTTGGGTCCAAGAATCTTGTATCTTCGAGTTTTTGAAATCCATTAACACGTTGACAAATTAATTTTTCACTGACACAAAACTTTTTAGTTCTGTCCTTGCAAAGATTTGCATCAGATAGAAGATGAGGTACTGCTAACTTCTTAACGCCATTAAATGCAACACTTACAGGAGAGCCAGGGGAAGAATGAGCAGATGGTGGTAATTTAAAGTTCTGAGACTGACCAGCTTCAGTCAAAGCTGGTGCCATGACAACCACATCTGGATGCCTCAATGAGGCGAACTTTATTCCCATTCATCCATGGGTCCTCATTTGTAACAGTTAAATGAGTAATTTAACATATGTTACAGGAATCATATCCACACAAAAAAATGTAGTCAGTAACATGTGAGTTTTCACTGCGTCACCCATATAGATTTCATTGTTCACACACTAATTCACAAAATTGCTTTGCACCGGGCAAAAAACCATGTATTAACTTGTATGTATCTTATTCAAAATAAACATGTTTCTTCAATGATGTCTTCAATAGCTGGAATGATACAGTTGGTTGCAGAACAATTCTCAGATCCAAACACGTGTTTTTTCAATCGCCGGCAGGTTCCATCCTCGTGCACTTCATCATATACGCCGACGGTGCACAGTCACAGTTCCGTGTGGTGTCGTTCCGGAACTGTAAACAAAAACATTTCATAAAATAATCGTTATAAAACATCTCTTAGCTAATTAACAGTGTCTAAGCACTTTCCGTGCGACCTACTACGCATTGCGAGTCGTACTAGCACACCTCGAGAATAACATTACATTATATGCCTTCCCCCCCATAGCAGTACACCCACGTGACAAAGCCCCAACTCCTGGAACGAAGCGACGAGGCCGCGTACGAGACCTCGGTATACAAGCACTTCCAGGCACAAAGGGGCTCAGAAAACATCGCAAAACAATACAATGTGGAATAAACAATACTTTGCTTACCAGCGAACACATGCAATTTGACTACAACACACAAAAATTTCCTTCCAAGCTATTAACACTCAAAATCCGTTCTTTAACAATGGCGGAATGCGACGTATATGCGTACGGGAAACGCTAGAAACGATCAACCACAAGGAACGACCGGCCAATGCCAAAGTACTACCAACTTCTGTTCAACTACAGTATATGTTCAGGAATTATGGCAAATAAATGGCAAATTGCTTCAAAACAAAGCATTGGTGTCAGCTTACTTGCAATTAAGCCATTTCAAGCCTCGCGGTACACCGACAATTCGAAAATCCTATATTTCTGCGCGCAATGAAGATAGTTGTTCACTTGCACTGGGTGTGCGTTCATGACATCAATACTCCCTACCTCCCAACGCCGCGTTCCTATTGGCCGAAAAAGAAATTCGTCCGCGCGCACGCGTCCCCTACGAACTTACGCGTTTACCTCTCGAAATCAGTGCACTTTCTAAATTATTGTTTCTAATGATAAAACGCACGTCTTACATTGACTCGCGTATATTTCTGCAATGGCTTTGACAGAGGATATGTTGAGAGCATTGCTTATTTACAAAATAGTAAGAGAACTACATCGAAAGGCGCAATAGACAACGTAACAGCGAGTTGCTCCTTCCAAATCTTTTGTTTCACGCGCCGAACTACGCCGGCGCAATCGCTTAACACGGAAGTGTGATCTACGCTCATGTATTTGCGTTGGAGGCGGGTAGCTAACTTAAAAATACAGGTGCATTATTGTTTTATGTTCCTTTAAAAATGTTAGTGAACGTGCTAAAAGTTGCATGAATGAGTGTCATTAGATCCTTGGATTTTCACGAAATAAAATGATTTCGAGTGAAATTAATTTTATTATAAGCAATTGGAATAAAGTAATACATTTTCTGTTTAATGAATTTGTAGGATTGTGGTTATATTGAGAATTTCAACAAACAAAATGCTAACTGCATTTTTATGAATTTAATTTTCACCAGCATATTTACCTACACAAAGTAAATTGCAAAAAAATTTGTTTTCAGCAGCTTCTCTACAACAGAGAGCCTGTCTTTCAATATATAATAAATTACACTAGTAATTATAAACTTCAACTAACATTTTGGCTAAGTAATCAACACGAATGTTTATTTATTTATCCTCTAAAAAATTGTGTAACATATGGTGGAAAAGTATAAAAAGATATTAAATATATATTTAAACAAACAGTTAAAGTTATGATATTGAGAGCATTATATATTTCATTTTCATGTATAGTTTGCATCTCAAGAGTTTTAGAAAATATTGTTAACAATATTCAAAAAGTGTATACACACTAAAATTCTACAATATCTCAAAGCTAAAACTATTTTTATGAACTTAACTTTAAGAAAAAATGTATGTCACCACACATATTGACAGGAACATATTTTCATTTATGTCTTCTTAGTGTTTTCCAAACATTAACAATTAAATAATTTTTCAAGTAAAAAAGAAGTGCCTGTCATTAATGTAAATGTTATCATTAATCTGACAGTTACATGAAAATAAGTTTATGCAAGTTTGAATTTGTTTCTTATTCATTCAGTCAAAATTATTTTTCAATTCAGTATAAATGAATTTTATTATAAGAAAACATCAAATCAGCTGGGCATGATACCTAAAACCCCCCTGCCCACTGAAAAATTATGGTTGCACCTTTGGTCTCAGAATAAAAAATGAAATACTTGTTTTACATGAGATTACACTTTTTTATTATTATTATTATTATTATTATTATTATTATTATTATTATTATTATTACTGTAATTCTTCTAAGAGTTTCACGCAATTCATTTTGAAACTGCTGCGAAAGTATTACAATATTTGCAATTTGTTGTTTCCAAGTTCATTAACCAAAGAAAATTTTACATGAAGGGAAGAACTAAACCATAAAAATTTCATAAGTTCTAGCATTATATCAAAGAAAATCTGCTTCATTCTTAGATTCTTGAAAGGGAAATATGAACGTTAAATGCAATATTCCCTCATTTAAAACAAGGATTTGTACTTCAACAAGTTGAATATGAAACAGAAAATGTGTTAAATAAATTGTAAAATGGTGTAGCCTCTCTTGAGTGCTAGATATTGCCGCTAATGCCAACTTAAAAAAAACAACAACTAATTAGAACAGAAAGGGAATAGGATTTGCCCAATTGATTTGAAGGTCTGTACTAATAATGCCAAATAATAAATGTAATCTTTCTAAATTTTAGCAAATTGATCCATTATTACTTCCAAAATTTGATGTAACTTTCCAAAAACCATTTTACTATGAGATTTGGATTATTTAAATTTTAAGGAATCAAATAATTTACAAAGGCAATTCTTACCAATGTTATCATTAATTCACTTTATTCCATTGAAGAAGTGACTGTAATAGATATAACCTCTTTATATGTAACGTACAAAATTACTGCTGAAGAAAATTGTAACAATGTATTTCTGTATATGACAGGACTGACGATAAGCAAAATTTCCATATTGGAAATGATTCAAGAAGGAGATTTTCCCAGATTTGTGTGTTTAGTAGCAGTAACTTTTATAATAGACAGAGTTTAAGGAAATGAAGTTGGCATAATCATTATACTTTTAAATCAAAATTCTCCAAATGTTGGCTGTTGTGCATATTTGTATTTTCCAAATTTTGATATCACAATATTAAACAATACTTTCAGAATTAATATTCTGAAATAATGTCCCCTAACCTGCTCCTTGAAATACAGAAGTAAAATATAATCAATAGGAAGTATCTTACTGCATATTCAAGAGTTTCATCAAAATCACTATGTTTCTATCAATATCTTATTGCAATTGTGGCATTCTATCTATCCTAAGGTATGGCACAGTAAACATTTGGCCATTGTTACATAAATACACTGTTAGTACACTCAAGGAAATGAGAAAGCAAGTAATTTAACAACCAACAGGTATTCTTAAAAGAGTAAATGTACATAAAATTGTACCTGTAGGTAACTGAAGCAATAAATTCCATAATACACCATTGTAGATTCAGGATCAGTACTATGATTTATGGAACACACTTCACCCCTGTACACCATTATAAATATTTAGCTGCAAGAAGATCTGAAACAATATTTTATCATACTCAAACATAATATTTCATCTAGATCAACTGTAATTACATTTCTAATTCAATTTAAAAATCAAATTATCTGGATTAAATTCACTAATTTCTACTGAATAAAATATTGAAAGAAAAGTATTGGTACTATTAAGTATTGTAATAAAATTTAGGATAATTTCTTTGAATTTATTTCTAAAAAAAAAAAATAAAAAAAAAAATGAAAAAAAAATTATGAAAAGTGGTAAAATAAAACTCAAAAAGTTTCAAAACAGTTATTTTCAAGTATTAGTAAAAACTTATTTGTTTATTACAATAATAAACAAAGAAAATATCTTCAAGTGTTAATACATAAAGCACATCTTGTGTAGGAATTTCAATGTTTTTTTTTAATAAAATACTACACATATTCATTATCACTCTATAAAATTTCTGTACTGCATGCAGTTTTACAAGTCAATATTTTACATATATTAAAGTAATTTTACAATATTAAATAAATTTTGATATTCTCAACAAGAAGGCATTCAGAATTGTATTAGTAAATACATTATTTCGCAAAAAGAATTTCACTCCATTTTACAATATTAACGACAAGTAATATTACACCTTGTATGACAAACTTGTCAATGTCAGTTGTGAAATTCTAATTAACCAAAAACTAGATGTCATATTTCCAAAGCATATTCTAACAAAAATTGACTTCTTAACAAAATGATGTTCTAATTATCTCGTAATAATACGTTTTCAATAAGAGTTAACATGACAATATCTCATTTTAAGTTATCATCTTTCAGTTGCATATAGTGACTTCAAAACACACTTTTACCCAAATACACATTTCCATGATGAATTCGGGTGAGAGACAAATTTTAAATTTCGGTATAATTATCCAAATAACTTAATTATGCGAATTATTTTGCGTAATGCTAAACTGAAATTAAATATATGTTTACCTTCCATTAACCCTACTTGATGAGTCTTCTTTTCTACCAATACAATTTAGATCACAACAAAATTCCAATTTATACATTAAATTACACTAAAACGACTTATACAAATTATTATTGTCAAATAAAATTATAACACCAAACATAAAACGTATATGATAATCATACGCACATAACATAAAGCCACGCACAGCCACACGAGCCAAACCACGGAACTGGGAAACCTGCGTTCTCAGTAGCCAATCACAGGCCGAGAAATCTAACGTCACAGTGGCACTGACAGCTACACCACGCTCGTAAGAAATGTATTTATTTTATTTTCACAGAAATATCTTTTGGGCTCTTATCAAGTTAAAATAAGTCATGAATATTTTTATATATAATAAGGCTTCATCTCTTCTCTATCCTATGGCACTTTAGTTGTTCGATAATTGACAAACTGATGAATCTCCCAAGGAAAGCTCATTTTGCAACAATATCACATTACTCTTCAGATTAATTTTCCTCCAATTGTGACATTTTGTAATGAATATTACTTTTCTTAGGAGTAAGATATTGGTGATCATCATTAGATATACTCGCACCAAAGTGCGATTTATTTTTCATTTAGGTCAATACACAAAACATTGTATAAAGTTGATGAATGGTGGTTTCAAAGGTGGAAACTTTTAAATGTGTGACTGGTTCACAATACATTTAGAATGTACGTAACAAGCACTTTATAGAAATATTGCCGAAAATTTAAGTAATATCTTCATTATTGAAAAACGGAGTTAAGGATCTCATTAATAAAGCGAATTAAAATAGTCTCGCAAAAATGTAACATTCTGGAACATTCGTTATATTTAACTTCAATCAATTAATATCGAAAACATAATGATTCACATAGTGAACAAGATCTCGGAGAGCCATACCCAGACATTCTTGGTTGACTTCACCTTCAATTTCTTCAGACTCTTCAGTTACATACTAGATTCCAAAATTGGACAATCTGTCTCTAGCCAAATTGGTGAATTTTGGCTAATATCAAAGACGAGTGAGAAGTGTGAGCACTTTATTGTTGCTCTCCCATCGAGAATGGATGTCAGAGAAGAAAAATTGATTGTAGTGAATAAATCTAGTGCTTTTTGAACAATGAAGAAAAAAATTAGCCAAAACCTCTGAAATCTTCAGCTGTAATCCCAAAAGATCCTCCAGGCTTATTAAAGGTGGAAGGCATAAAAAATAGTCAAAAACTAGTGGTATAGCCAAAGGGGATTATGAGGACGGTTCGCTCCAGGTAACATTTGTAGACCTTTTAAATTGGGAGAAGAGTTGCAATTCGTCACAATTTTGTAGGAAGGTCCTCTATTTTATTATGAATGTCCCATGCCTCTACATGATTGAGGTAGGACGCACAACATCTTTCCCTACTATCTGTCCCTACGTTTTTCTTCTATATTTTGTGGCATTGTGTTATCGAGTGTTAGTATGTCTTATATAAAATAATTGATAATGTAGTATTTTGTCATTATTTGTATTCTCTATTTTTTTAAACTTTTTCCAATGCGACGGATGCGACTTTCCTTCCGAGATGCCAAAATTAATCTCTGGTATAAAAACATGAAAACCAATGCCTTTGTAAACAATAAAAATATTAATTAACGCCATGCACAATCTTGGACGATATTGGCGAACAACCAGGGGACCTGACCTAAAGTAAAACTAAAGCAAATTTCCCGAATAATTAAAGGTAGAATAGTACAATTCCGTCAGAGGTGTAACAAACCCTTCTCGGACCCCGGTTCAAAAATTAAATTGGTGTTTCCCTCAAAAAATTCCGTCCTACTAAAAACAGCGTGCTGAAAACTAATTGAAAGAATCTATTAACCACCATCAATTACAAAATTCAGAATCGAACCCTGCGCCTGCGGACTTTCGCCTTGTTTCAAAGCACGTATAACAAAACCTAGAGGGCCCCCCAGAACATTAAATGAAGAAATAAATAATTGGAGCCCCGGGTATTCAAATACAAATTTGTAAAACATCTTTGCGTCCTCATAATACAACACGTAATTCAAATTTTACATCAGTCGATTTATGGTAATAACCAAAATCGCTTTCAGAAGGTCTCTTAAGTGTGTTCAGTGAGACCAACAAAAAATTTGCTTTTGCCCCAGGTAATTGCACCTGGTGAGCCGATGGTAGCTCCTCCACTGAATTCCCTTATTCTGAATATCAGAACATAAAACAAATATAACCTAACGTACCACTATAGTCAACGATCAAACGAATTAGCCAAAACAAAGTAGAAATTTCAATATCAAAAAGCGATACAGAAATTGCCTATATAGAAAAGGAAATGGCTCATTTATTAACTAAAAATTTCCAGGAAACTTTCACACCTCATTCAATTTTTGAAGATTATAACTACTTGTTACGTAAAACTGCAAAACAAGTCTCCAGTTCTACAAAACAATTATATTTATTGCGCCCTCGGAAATAACAAAAACTATCAAACAATTAAAAGCTAGAAAGTCAACAGTCTGTGATAATTTTAATAATCAAGCCCTCAAAACTGAAGACAAACGAGGCAGGAGCAGTTTTTTTTCAATTCGGCACTGAGTCTAAGTCATTCTCCTAAACATTGGAGAATCACTATTATTTTTTCGTTCAATAATCCAGGAAAAGATCCTCAGAATATAGACAATTATAGACCAGTAAGTTTACTTCCTATTCTTAGAAAATTATTTGAGAATCTAATTTATATACTGTTAAACAAATAAAAGCTAAAACTAATGCACAATTCGGATTCACAATCACTCTACAACACATCAACTGCTGAGACTTACGCAATATATGGCCAACGCATTTCATCATCATATACTACATACACTGGCAATATTTGACATAGGAAAAGTGTTCGACAAAATGTGGCAACCCAGAACTTCTACCTTCATAAAATCGTCAGTTGTCACTTCCTAGTGTCAATCAATTCTACGTTCTATTGTCAATTTCAAACTAGTGCCGGTGTCCCTCAAGATTCACGCGTCTCTCCTTTACTGTTCAGTATGTGGGCTGTATATGTACTGGATATTCCAAAGCCAAATGATTCAGAAGTTGCTCTCTTTGCAGATGACACCGCTTTATTCACAACTTAACGAGAACATAGTTTGCTCTTACGGCTAACTACAGAACAACTTTAAAACGTATGTCATCAGGTCTGAATAGTGGAAAATCAAAATAAACTCGGACAAATCCCAAGTAAAAGTCTTTACACTTAGTAGATCGCATATATATGCATACCTCCCCCACCTAAAATACAAAGCGCAATAATAAAATAGCTTCCCAAGCAAACCCCAGTTAAATATTAAGGATGGATGCTCGACACAAAATTAACTTGAAAAGACTGCATCAACACAATCACAAATAAAACATTCAAATATTGACAACTGCATCTGCTAAACTCTAAATCAGCTTTGAGCATTGAATGTTGCACCCTAATCTAGAAAACAATATTGTAACAATCAAGTAAGTATGCTAGTCCAGTGCGGTTCCATGCACCAAAACCACACAATCAAAATCTACAAATCATACAAAACAAATGCTTACGGAAAGTAACTAAAGTTCCCTGGTTAATCAGTAAAAAGCAGCTGCCTAGAGATAGAATCAATACGAGAAAACATTCTAACAACACCTACAAGGTTTTCAAATTCCTTTCAGAATCTTTAGCCATGCCCCTTTTCAAACTCGGCAGAAAGTACCCAAAACCTAAACGAAAGGCTTCCCAACAGACAAATTGAAATCTCCATCAATCATTCAACAGCATTGATTCCTAACATCTAATAGTATATAATATCCACTTCTAATTACAATTTTCGATGAGTTTCAAGTACAAATTTTATATCTCAAAACCTCGACCTGTAATAAGCAGGACAAACAGCCTGAGAATGAAGAACAAAAATGTGTATGTAATATCGTTAACATCCCTGAAAGACTGCTCTTCCGAACAGGAAGGGGAAACATATCTCTCTCGACATGACATTGCAATGTCCCAAGCCTGGGCAATTTTGACACAGATGAGTTTTACTCTTCCACAACGAAAGCAGAGTGATATGACAGGCTGCCGCTTGAAAGTTCTAGGAAGGGGGAATCTTTTTTTTTTTTTTTACAAAACAAAATTGACCCTGTTGAAAGGACAATGGTTCTTTTATATAACTATATTATAATATATATATATATATATATTATATATATATATAATTTCAAGTGGGCATAAGCCAAAGCTTTACGACAAAATTAATCCTGAAATTGTTCTAATTAATCGATGTTGCTGTCCGCATCCATGCAGCAAAATCTGATAATCAGGTATACTATTAGTAAGTGCGAATAATAAAAGAGGTCGACAAAAAATATGTTGTGATCGACTAGTTGCCCATGCCTGCAATATCCGATAATGGTTAGGTTCATTATAAGCATTGTTCTGAGACTCCTGTACTGAAAAAAAATTCGAAGACTACCGTTACAAAAAGCCAGAAACTTTTCTGTAAAAGAAGTACTGAAACTAGCGCAGAATCACTTTAAATGATACCAAGATCTTCTTAAATATAATGACCATACTTGGTGAAACATTTTTTTACAAAACCTCATACACGTTTAATATTAACAAAAACATTATTCATGAAACCACCTAACGTAAAATATAAACGTTACCGACCGTCAGAATAATTCAGCCAGCTATTAGTAAAGCCCAACCCTAAATAGCGCAACAGAACAGAGACCCATGATTCCGTGTATATAAAGAAACACTTAATTGGGTACAGTCTCCATCACACAATACGAGTTTTATACGAAATAACAAATACAATATTAACGAAGAGCCGGTGCCGGAAAGCTCTCCCCAATACTCAATACTCGGAAACGTTGCGTTCTTGGACTAAAAATAAATTCAAGATTCCCTAAGACTAGTTGAAACTTCCTTAATTCTCTCCATCTTATTATTATTATTATTATTATTATTATTAATATTATTATACTCACCTCCCTCAATATAAAGCCTAATTATACTCTTATTAAACAATAAACAAAGAAATTCTAAAAAAAGGTATTCTCATGCAATGACTTGCTGAAATTCCGACACGTCCATTGTTATTATTAGGGAGAGGATTTGTCTGATTTTGTATATTTTTGTCCGTTGCTTCAGGACATAGTTAAGTGAAATTTCTTGACACTTGGTTCGAATTAGATGCTATGTCGATTAATATGCTAGTGCATATTTTGACAATTTTTCCTG